GCGCCTCAGATTGAGAGGCGTGAACCTCATATTTTTAGCTTCAAAAATACCGCCTCGAGGCATACTACATGCACCTCATAGTGAGGCGGGCCTCACTACCGCCTTTTTATACCATGCCTAGAATGCCAAGGAATTTGTAAATTGTGGTTTTGTTGTGGCTTTTAAATAGCTCTAAATGAATATTCTGATTTCCCTGACATTGTGTGTGTGAGATCACAAACATGTTTTGTCTGTTGGCTATAATTTGGGAAACACAAATGAAAAAGGCAAAGTGATAAAGAGTGCTAATCTTGTTACTCGTATGATTGATAAAATGTTTGGTTTTTCTTTGCAGGTTATGAGCATTAAAGCAGTAGGTATTGCTATAAGACTTACAATAGAGGGCTCAAGCCAGGTGGCCCGCTTCCAAACGTGGGTGTTTGTCATGGTTGCAGCTAGTTGTGTAACCACTCAGTTAAACTACTTAAACAAGGTTACTGATTTCTCTCTTTATGATATTTTTATTTCATTTTTTTAGTCCTTAAATGTTTTTTTTATATAAATTTATTTGAATGTTTAGTCCTTCAATGTACTTTCACATCTTGCTTTAGACTTTTTGACATCTTGTGTTTCCTGTGTTTATTTCCTTTCAAAGGCACTTAAACAATGTGAAGTAAATGCACGAGTCGAAAGCAAATACCGCTTCACCTATTTGTATAGAATAGATGATTGATAATTCTGTTCTTAAATTTTTAAATTTACTCCTGATATTTGTTGAATACAATGTACTTTTTTTCCACTAGCATTTTCTTCAGATGCGCTGATATTATGATGCTTTGTTGCAATGAAAGATTATGGCTGTTAACTGAATTCATAGGCTAGCATGCTTATTGCACAACTTATATTCAGATACACCATCATTTATGAAGGGAAAGAGGCGGCATCTTCTATCCAGAGTGAGTAGCAGAAGTAAGCCCCCATTTGAGCCCATTTTTTCAAAACTCATTTTCAACCACACATTCTTCCATAAAATAATTATACATGCATTTCAAAAACTTTTCTTTACTTTTTAACTACACATTCTCCAAAAATCGCTATTCAATAATATATTTTGCCCAAAAAATGGGAATCAAACAGGGGCTAAATGAGCAATCATCTATAAGTATTAGTAGTCTTATAACTCAATTCTCATATAATTCTACCATAAAATTGTAAAGCAAATGCACATAACAAACGTAAATACCAAGTGTGTGATGTGATCAACAAAGATTCTAGACCATTAGTTTTGGGGGAAAAGTAAAGGTTACATCGAACTTTGGCCTTTTCAGTTCTCATTATAAACTCTTTGCAATTTCAAATCTGTTGACCTTAAACTCTTTTCAGTTTTGGGCATCACCTGCACATCGAACATCCCGTTAGAAGGCAAAGACTGCTGGTTGAGAAAAAGGTCCGACGATCGTTTGCACTCTAACGATCAGGTCAACGGTTAGACGAAAAAAAAATGAGTACAAGAGGCGAGAGAGGGGATTTGGCTAAGGTTAGAGAACATACCTTTTAATAAAGTGAACTCGCATATGTATAGGTAAATGTAAATGGGCTGAGCCAAAGATACAATTGTTTAATTAAAATAGGCACAATCAATTGGATAGTCGATGTCACGTCGGCATATATGGGACTCCCTCCGTCTGAGCATGCCACATAATTTATAGGTGTAACAAAATACAAATCTTCAATCATGGGCAGTGGGTTCTAAGCTTTTCAATTATTCTGTCCTATTAAAGCAAGTTGAAGATGTATGCTATAAGTAAAGATAATGAAAAAGAGAAAGTTTTGAAGGCCCAAATTCTACTTAGTGGTAATGCTGAAAGACGGTTCAAGAGTGTAAGCTGTTGAAATCCCGAATTGATTGAGAATATAACTAGGGAGATTGTTGGAGATTTGACTTACCATAGATAAAATATTGTAAATTGATTAGAGATTTATTTCCTTCTTTTATTTTCTTTCTTCTACTATAAATAGGAGATATGTATTGTACATTATTAAGATTAAAATAATAAAGTGAAATAATTTTTCCCTATTTTCACCTTCATGGTATCAGAATCGTTCCAATGACAGAAACATGCTATATTAATAGAGGGTCAATGACCTCTGAATCTCTCAATGAAGAAACAGAGGCTATCTCAGCCTAGAGCGGAGAAATTGAAAGTTCATCCTTTCAACACACGGTAGAAAAAGTGGACGGAAAAATCTACAGAAAATCGGCTCAATCTATCAAACTAATCATTGATAGAAAATCAAAACTTGGGTACCTGACCGGAGAGACTAAGATGCCAGCGTCAACCGACACAATTCTCCTTCGAAAATGGCAATCGAAGAATTTCATGGTGACTGCTTGGTTCGTCAACTCCATGAAGCCCTCAATTGGAAAGACATACTTTTTCTTACCCACTGCAAAAGACTTCTCGGAGGCTGTGAAGGAGACGCATTCTGATTCTAAAAATTCAACCCAGATTTTCGAAATTAAATCCAAGTTGTAACACATGTTGGGACCTACACGAAAAGCCGGCCGATTGGAAACCTAGGCAAAGTAACAAAAATCGTAGCTATCAAGCATATGTTGATTATTCAACAGAAAAAACGAAGGGGTCCAATGGTGCTTTTAATCCTGAGCAGATGGATCAACTCTACAAAATGTTCTCTAGACTCCAATCGTCAAGTCAAACCTCTACGAATAATCCTTCAAGTTTACTAGCCCACATAGGTACTTTTTTGCGAGCATTAAACACCACCACCCAAACTAAAACGTCATGGATGATTGACTTAGGAGCTTCTGATCATATGACGGACTTCTACCACCTATTCACTTCATACTCAACATGTGCGGGCAATTTTAAAGTTAAAATTGCAGATGGTTCCCTATCCACTGTTGTGGGAAAATGGAGTATTCAAATTTTCGATTTTAAAACTTTAGAATATGTCCTTCCTGTTCCAAATTTATCATGCAATTTACTATCTATAAGCCAGTTAACAAAAACTTCCAATTGCTCCGCTAAATTTCTTCCATCTTACTGTGTTTTTCAGGATCTATCATCGGGGAAAGACGATTGACAATGCTAAGAAAAGTGAAGGACTATACTACTTTAAAGAGGCTAATGTGAGTAAACAGCGTCAAATTAAAGTTTGTAATTTTGCGTCTGTCCTTAGAAATGGTGAAATTATGTTATGGCACTTTAGAATGGATCATTCCAACTTTCATTACTTGAAACGTGTTTCCCTTCTATTTTTTTTAAGTACAAGGCCAGTCAATCTACAATTTGAAATTTGTGAACTTGTAAAACATCAACGTACATCATTTCCAAAATCCACATACAAACCATCAAAGTCATTCACCATGATTCACAGTGATGTATGGGGTCCTTCACGAATTCCAAACAGTAATCATGCAAAATGGTTTGTTACATTCATTGATCACACTCGAATATGTTGGGTTCACTGATAAAAGAAGAAATTGATTTTCGTTTCGTGTTCATCAACTTCCACTCTATGATTCAAACGCAATTTCAAACACATTCAAATTTTACACACCGATAATGGCACGGAATACTTTAATAACATCATAGGAGACTCTGCAAGTTCATGGCATAATTCATCAAAGTTCTTGCGTCGACACTCTCCAACAAAATGGGATTGCCGAATGAAAAAATAGACATCTCCTAGAAGTTGTTCGTGCCTTAATATTTACTACAAACGTGTCGAAAATGTTATGTGGTGATGCAGTCTTTACATCCACCTATCTAATCAATTGGATGCTCGTCGTATCCTAAACTTCAAAACACCGCTTCAAAAATTTCAGAAATATTTCCCAAATTCTCTTCTCAACTTCAATATTTCCCTTAGAGTGTTCGGATGCACCACATTCGTGCATGTAAGTAAACTTGATCCCTAAGCAATTAAATGTGTTCTGATGGATATTCTCCTACACAAAAAGGTTACAAATGCTATGATCCTTCCACAAAATGGGTCTTTGTAATCCTTGATGTCACACTCTTCGAAAATACCCAATACTTCAAGAACACCTCTCTTCAGGAGGAGATCTCACATGAAGATCGATTTCTTGACCTTAATCTCTCCACTCCTGATATGTCACCTATCCCACCATCACCTACTCCATCAACTGATATGCCATTAACAGAAGGAAACTTTAATCCAGGGGGAGAAGTAGAAAAAAAAACGAGAAAGCAAAAATCAAAGTATTCAGAGAATCTCACATCTGAAGCACCAAGAAAGTCCGAACCGATGGTAGCTCCAAATCGCCAAAAAGTATCAGAAAGTCTTGATGCCGACTTACCCATTGCTCTCAGAAAACAAAAACGGTTATGTACACTCCATCCCATTTCAAAATTCATATCCTATAATATCCTATCTACAGGATTTCGTGCTTTTACATCTCATCTTGACAGGACAATGATTCCAAAAAATATTTAGGAAGCCTTAGAACTTCCAAAATCGAGAGAAGCAGTATTGGAAGAAATGCGAGCGCTGGAAAGAAAATGAAACTTGGGAAGTGATGGATTTGCCACCCGTTGGATGCAAATGGGTCTTCAATTTAAAATACAAAGCCGATTGGACAATAGAAATATATAAAGCTCAGTTGGTTGCAAAATGACACAAAAACTTATGGCATTGACTACACATAAACATTTGCACCAATAGCAAAGCTGAATACAATTGGGGTTCTTCTATGACTAGCATCAAATTTGGATTGACCACTTCAGCAACTCCACATTAAAAATGCATTCTTAAATGAGAAATTGGAAGAAGAAGTATTCATGACATTACCACCAGGTTTTTGCAAGGTAAATGAAAGAAACCGAGTATGTAAACTAAAGACGCAGTTATACGGACTCAAACAGTCACCGAGAGCATGGTTTGACAGATTTGCAAAAGTGTTGAAGAGTCAAGGATATCAATAAGGACAATCAGATCATACTATGTTTATTCGAAATTTTGAAGACGGTACTAAAACGATTTTGATCGTTTATGTCGATGACATTATTCTACATGTGATAATATGGTAGAATTGGAGAGATTAAAGAAGAGCCTTACCACTGAATTCGAAGTAAAAAATTTGGGACCAATGAGATATTTCTTAGAAATGGAAATTGCTAGATCAAGACAATGAATCAGCATATCACAACGAAAATATGTACTTGATCTTCTAACTGAAATTTGCATACTTGGATACAAACCGAGCGATACACCTGTGGATGTAGGAAAGAAAACTGAGGATGGAGAAGTTCCAGTAGAAGTCGACAGATATCAAAGACTAATGGGAAAACTAATCTACTTGTCACACATCAGGCCCAACATCGCATTTGTTGTTAGTCAGGTTAGCCAACACATGCATTCCTCAAAGGAAAGTCATCTAGATATTGTCTATAAGATACTCAGATATCTTAATGGCTCTGTAGGAAAAGGGTTACTCTTCAAACTGAGTGAAAGAAAAGAAGTTGAAGTCTATAAAGATGCGGATTGGGCAGGATAGATTGATGATAGCAGATCTACTACTGGTTATTGCATCTTTGTATGGGGAAATCTAGTAATTTGGAGAAGCAAGACCACAAAATGTGGTAGCTGGAAGTAGTGTTGAAGCTGAATTCAGAGCTGTCTCACGAGTAATATGTGAAACTCTGGTTGCGAAAGCTCTAAGAAGAAGTACATATCACAATAAAGTTGTGACAATAAAGTAGCTATCAACATTTCTCTTAATTTAGTTCAACACGATTGAACTAAGCATGTAGAGGTGGGCATACATTTTATCAGAGGGTTGAGGAAGGAACTATTTGTACAATCTATGTCCCCACTTAAGCACAAATTGTAGATATCTTTGTCAAAGGATTGCTAAAACATAAATTCGATGATTTCATCTCCAAGTTGGATATGATCAACATTTACGATCTATCTTGAAGGAGTGTTGGAAATCCCAAATTGATTGGGAATATAATTAGGGAGATTGTTGGAGGTTTTACTTACCATAGATAGAATATTGTAAATTTATTAGAGATGTATTTCCTTCTTTTATTTTCTTTATTCTACTATAAATAGGAGCTATGTATTGTACATCATTAAGTTGAAAAAAAATAAAGTGAAATAATTTTTCCCTGTTTTCACCTTCATAAGTTAGCACTGATTGATGCCTCTGTTTATAAATTCAGTGCTCTAGATGTGGCTTACTCGTTGAGATTGTGTCTTTTCATATTGATGCCTTAATCTTGTATTCCAGCATGTCATTGTGGCATTGTGTTGAAATCAAGTCTTGCTTGAACTTTGTACTGTTATCTAAGATACTGAAGATCTTAGTTTCCAGGTTTTACGAATAGGGTTTTATATCTGTTGATATCGCCAATAGGGTAGGTATAATCCAAATAAAATTTGACAATTCCTAAGAGTTAGATCCATATACATGTGTTTGATACTTGTATCCAAGTCCAAGCAACATAGTTTTTTGCCTCCCATTCTTCATGCGTAAATCATACTCGTGTTGTTTGTGTTGTTTCAAAATTCTGAATTGAATTTGAACTCAATTGAATCATCATGGCTTTTATTTCCAGGCTTTGGACACATTTAACACTGCTGTAGTTTCTCCAATCTATTATGCCATGTTCACATCGCTTACAATTTTTGCCAGTGCCATAATGTTCAAGGTATCTAAGAATGTTTGTGTCTTGCGACAATGTCAAAGTGTTGCTATTTTCGTTAAACTCTAATCTGTATGCAACTATAGGATTGGGCTGGTCAGAGTGCTAGCAACATTGTTTCGGTTCTCTGTGGATTTATTACTGTACTTTCGGGTACAATGGTTTTGCACAGTACAAGAGATCCAGAAAAGACAGCAACTGCAGGTATGTCCACATTTCACTTGTGTATGAAAATACAATGTAACATCTATTTTCTTTGTTTGTGGTCCACTTTGTTTTAGTTCATTCTCGAAACTTCTACTTTCCAATGATTTTGCAACTAGCTTATACCAAACGATGTAATTTTTATGGAGGGACTGCTGAGCTTTTTCGTCTCAAATTGTCAGCCTGATTTTATTTCTTTTAAAGTTAGACGTGTTTGGCTAAGCAAAAAAGTTACTTTCTTAAGCAGTATTACTTTTTTTAGGCGTAGTCACACATGCTCTTATTTCACTTGAAAAAACTGAACCTCCAAAATTTTCTTATATTCTGTCTTCCCCTTTTTATTTATTGATATGGTGGCATGAATTTATGAGTTCAATATCCTATACGCTGTCCTTCCTCATTGTTGTTTTTGTACTACTATAATGCTTTGCAAATCATCCCATTAGAATCACTTGAGCACGGAGTCGACTACCATAAATCTACTGGAATCTTGCAGATTATTCAGCACTACCTCAAATATCATGGCGGGTCCATGCAAATGGTGAAATATGGAAACAAAAAGACAACGATGAATTGCACCCTGAGTTTGTGGCAATTATTCGGCAAGATCATTTCAAGTAAGGTAACAAAACTTGGACAATCTCGTCACTCGAAGCTATCTTCTAAATATTGTCTTCCAAGATTCTTTATCATGAACTTTGGTTGATCAGTAGACGAAGTTTCTAGTGTGCTTATTGTCAAATTTTGCCTTTTGAGGATAGGTCGGGGTACTACTCCATGGCAATTGGTTTTAGTATTTTTACTGAAATTTAAGGGTGATAATTTTTTTTCACATCCCAGGCTTGATAGTTGATAGTATCAGTACGCACTAGTGTATGATATTAATTTGTTTTTGTATCAACTCTGAAGATAGAACCACATTGTATTTGTTTCTATAAATTATGGCATAGAAATGTTTAATATTGCTACTCTTCCCGAAAGATGAAATGAAAAAATGTTTTGTGATTGTCAATATGTATTATCTTATGCCGTGTTTGCTTCAATATACTTCCAACTGATGCAATATTCACTTTTGGCATGGTGATCTTGTTTACTGTACTGTATAGGCCCATTCAAACTCAGTTATGTGGTACCTAACATGCACTTCATGTAATCTGCTGGTTAGATAGCATGAAGACATAAAATATGACTACTCGTAGAATAACCTTTAAAAGTAAACGCAATAATTCATCTGTAGGTCCAAAATGGAAATAAATATATGATTGTGCATGCGTCTACCATGACCCAAAGGCACTGCAGAGCGTTGAAGGTCGACGCTAAATGTCATTCGGGTTTTGCTGCACAATCAGAAGTTACTAACATTCTCCAACCCAAAGGTTTTGAGTGAAAGAAGGCTTGAAACATGAAGCATTGCCTCGATTCTATTAGGCCCTTGTGGTTGTTCTATGTCGACTTGTTGCCCGAATTCACTCTTATTGTGACAGTACAGCATAAAGAAGTCCCCCCATAACACCATAATAACACCATCTTTAAAAACTTTCAATGGATAGACGACTTCAAATGTTGGCCCTATTAGCTCCGTCATTTTACTGATGACATATTGTCGAGTCCACGATTCCTTCGCTCGGTATTCCTTCATAACCCAGATGTTGATCTCAAAGTATGAAGTATTATCGCATAAACATAGATGATCCTGTAGAACTCCGAGACTCACCAGAAGTTCTTGCCTGCCCTGAAATGGAGATGGGAATGGTTGAAACACTTCATTCTCGAGATCAAAACATGAAATCAATTCATGAGTATCGTCTAAATCTTGTATCAACCAATGAACATTTCCATTGAAAAACAACCCGACGGATCGATTACGGCCGCTATATGCGAAATTCGACATTTCTCCATTAATGATTCTCCAAGACCCGGTTCCGAGGGTGTAGACATAACACTCAGAATGCGGAATTCTAATGCAGTTTTGACTAATAGGGTCAAGAACCTGGTCATGAAAAACCCGAACCACTTTGTATTCACCAGCTACTCTGCTTACCCCGAATCCATATGTGGCTATGCTAGGATACCGAACGACTCCCTCAGGAGCCGGGAGCCTAACATATTCCCGCGTAATGGGATTACACATGTAAACAGTTTCGTGTTCGTAATTTGTATCCCTCAAGCACAATAAGCCATTAACAGAGCCATCAAGAACTATATTAGCATCAGAGAATTCACTTAACCTCGTGAGATCAAGTTTCACAAGTGAAGCATCATCAAGATCATGATGATTAATCTCATCTTCAAATTCCACCAACTTCATGAAATTCTTAAACATTTCAGATTGATGGACGACAAGGCCTGGACGAGCCCTGGCAAAATGCAGGGCTACAAATTCTGGGTTGGAAAATAGCTCGAGCCAGGTTTTGCACACGCACTTGCATCGGTTTATAGCTCGAGCAGGGAGCCTCGACAGAATCTCAACCAAAATTTCTGAGGGCAGGTTCATTAAGAACCCTTTGCTTTGTTTTATGTGTTTGCAGTTTGTTGAATTCATCGTGGCTGAGGCTGAACGTGGAATTTGGGTTACTTGTGTTTGTGTTCATCTGATTTTGTATAGGAGGATTGTTAGCTTTATGATAACGGCATAACGCTTTAACCGTCATTCAGGGAAATTCGGACACGGCACTTAACGTTACTTAAAGATTCTAGTGTTCGTTGCTTGTTGGAGAAGTTTTGACTTTTGAGTTTCGTGTAAAGAATTCATGCTTAGAGTGAAAGAGAAGAAAGAACAAAAATAGTTGCGTGAATGTAGGGTTAATAGCTTATGTCGTCACCAAATTAACAAAATGTATCAATCTAGTGGTTAATTTTAGTGTCACTTGGTCACTGAATTTTAATTTGTTTGAAACTTCACTGAAATTGACAAAATGTTTTCTTCAAGATATTGTATTGAGTTTGGCGTCCTTGTGTGTTTGTAAGCCAAGTTGTCTAACTATTGGGATGTCCGGTTAACTTCTATAGCTTGTGCTCATATATGTAGAATGTTGAGTTAGAAGTGAGTAAATAGAATTTCATACTCAATCTCAAAGACATTATAGAATTTTGCAGAAAGTCGAATTCGACAAAAGTTGTATGTACAGTTTGGGGGGAGATCGTTTGAGAACCACCCTACAATATGGGGAAAATGGATGTGAAATTGAGTAGGTGGTTTGAATGAATTTTGTTCCAATGATGAGTATGAGAAAATTAAAGTTCATTGGACAAAGGTGATACAAGTGTAAGTTCATCGGCCATTAATTGTCATTGATTTTTATTTTATTTCTTGCAAAGATGGTCATTCAACTATACATTTATTTAAGTTTAGTGACTGATTATTATTTTTAACTTGGATTAGTATCAATTCACTATGTCTACATCACCGAATTCTCCCGACTTCCCTGCAAAGGCATGACATGACGCCGAGTTTTAAGGACCTTGCTACTTGTACAAAAGAATTTGTACAAAAATGTTGACAAACACTCACATGATGGCCGGCCCCACATGAATAAAAAATTGAAAATAAAAAGTGGGCCCCCTCACATGTGAGGGTTTGTCAACATTTTTGTACAAATTCTTTGTACAAGTAGCAAGGTC